AGTCCTCCCACCTTGGCCTCCCAAAGTGCCAGGATTACAGGTGTGAGCCACCACGCCCAGCCTGGGGTTTTTTAAGTGGCAGTATTTTATTGAGGCATAAGTAACACACAGAGTAGTGCACCCAGCTAAAGGGTGTGGCTCTGTGAAATCTGACAAGCGCACACTCCCATGTTCCCGTCACACAATCGATAAGCCCACATGCCCCTTCCCACACCCAGTCCTCGCATAGGGTCTGCGTGTCTGTGGCTCTGGTTTTGACTCTGCTAGAACATCCCGTTCCATGATTGGGGCACTCAGGATGTGCTTCTGTGCCTGGTGCCTTTCACTCAGCGTGATGTCCCTTTGTATTGTGTGTATCTGAGGTTTGTTCTTTTTCTTTTTTTTTTTTTTTTTTACTGCCCAGTCAACGAAAGGGAAACTTTACTGAGGCCCCAGGGCCATGGGGGTTGGGCAGGAGGCTGCCCTGTGGGGAAAGGAGGAGGAGCCCATGGAGGGGCTTTTTTTGACCTTCTTCTTGGGGCACAAGTTGTTGATGTGGCCGCACTTCTTCTTACGACAATTGACAGCACGGGGGTGCAGGCGAGCATAACATTTGCGGCAGATCATCTTGTCGCAGTTGTATTTCTGAGCGAGCTGGCGGAGGGAAGGCTCAGTGATACCGCCTCACAGACAAAGCACCGGGTGCACGGTGGACTCTTTCCGAATGTTGTAGTCGGAAAGAGTGTGGCCATCCTCCAGCCGTTTGCCTGCAAATATCAGACGCGGCTGGTCGGGGGGATGCCCTCCTTGTCTTGGATTTTGGCTTTGACGTTCTCGATGGTGTCACTGGGTTCGACCTCAAGGGTGATGGTCTTGCCCGTCAGGGTCTTCACAAAATCTGCATCTCTGCGTTTGCAGCTCGATTGCCTCGTTGAAGAGAAAGAGAGATGGTTTGTTGTTCTTGTAGCTAATTTATGGCCTCCTGTTGATGCCAAGTGCTGTGTGTATGACCTGGTGCAAGTTTCAGGACAGCCCTGAGAAATAAGTGTTGTAAATTCTACACTTTGGATGAGGAAACTGCAGCTTAGATGAGTCACTTGCACGCACAGCTCGTACATGCTGGGCCAGATTCAAAACTGAGTGTGTATGTTCCAAACTCATGTCTCGTCTGGATGTGAAGAGGTGGGTGTTTGGTAACATTCAGAAGTTGGCTGTGGGTCATAAAAGGTGTGTGTGTGCAAAGTGGCCTCACCCTCTGCTTTGTCCCACGGAACCCACAGATGGAGCCACCCCAAAAGCAGCATCAGGAGAGTTCCCACAGGCGAGTGCCCCAAGCCGTCCAAGATGGAGCCTGCTGGGTTCCAAAGAAGGGAGCACTACAGCCAGTGCACTCAGCCACGGCGCTCAGTCAGGACACTCAGTCAGGACATTCAGTCAGGACACTCAGTCAGGACACCCAGTCAGGACACCCAGTCGGGACACCCAGTCGGGACATTCAGTCGGGACACCCAGTCGGGACACCCAGTCGGGACATTCAGGCGGGACACCCAGTCGGGACACCCAGTCGGGACACCCAGTCAGGACATTCAGTC